CAGATAAGCCTTGTGATCAATTGGAATCTCTGACTGAATAATGGAGTGGCGACGACGCCACTATACTCACGATCCGGTATCAAATTACAGTGGGGTCCTGATGAGGCCTAGGCGAAGTCAAAACTTTATCCGCGAGGCGTATTCATATAATTGTGGGAAAGCCCAACTATTAGCCCTTAGACTACCTAGAGCGACCTAAGCGACTATTTTTTTATAACATGACCCAAACAATAGATAAAAGGGCGTCTTATGAAGTGCTATCTTAGTTCATAAAAGCCAAACTATCAAATAGCACTATATGAGGGTTTAACTTCACGGAAAAAATCCTTACTCGCAAAAATCTTGTCATTGCACGCTCCTCAGTAAGAAACGTCAGTGAGAAAGGCTGTCATGGGTAAGCGTCACGTTTATCCAGATAGCCTAACAAGGATGGCTCCAAAACAGTGATTCTCAAAGGTTTCGATGAAATTTAGGCGAGATGGAGATTGCATTCCAGTCAGGAAAACAAAATATTTTGCAAGGTAAGACTAAATAGACATAAATGGCCTCATCAAGTCAATTCATTTCACTTTAGGAAATTCATCTATTAGGTCCCACATCATCTTAAGTGACGTATAGTGAATAAAGTTCTTATTCTTAATCTACTGATAGCCTCGAAGAATACTCACGACTAATACAAAAATGGGACGTATCGGCTACACATGTAAGATGGTTTATTATTTTTAGTGTGAGGCTTAAATGAAATTATAATTTCCAGTTTGTTTTATTACAAAAAGGATCTTGCAATTAGGATACAAAACTCGAGCTAGGCTTTTTTTCATGAGTAGGTTTAAAGAATTATATTAGGCAGAAATAGATGGGCTGTACGTAGCAGGGAACTTGAGGACTTTATATGGGCACTCATGAACTATAGATGCTGATAAGTGCTAAAGAAAGGATCAACTATTTATTATAGCTAATTTCACCGTCAAAAAAGGCAATAAAGTGCAGATATACTTCGTTCTAAATAAACCATCCGTGAAAATTTAGTTAAAAACAAACACCATTTATATGGATTATTTTCCAAAATTAGGGAAAAATTGTTTATGCAACTTGGGTAAAAATTAAATTTTATTAGGCCAGTAACCTTTTTCTTGAAGAATTATAAAGCCGATTAGAAACTTTCTCAAGAGGCTGATATAATCCACTTTGGAAGAAAATGCATTTATTTGGCACCATGTATCCTAATATAAGTTCAGTTCTGCCTTATCTTAGCAGCATACCCGGAGTTCATCATGACCAACATTTTTCGCACCAAAAAAGTAGAATTAATTATTGTTGGCGAGCACAGCATTATGCTGTCCCATTTTTAAGACCAAAAGAATACTTCTCGAAAATGCATGAATGGATTACAGAATAAACGGGCAAAGGGAAACACAAATGGAGAAGTGTGGTAACTTACTTAGATTTTTAGGTCCTAGTAGTGTACAGATATGAACGATTCTGAATTGACTAAGAATAAGTGAATGTGTGCATGTGTAGTAAGACGATGAATTAAAAAGTTAAACGGAAGATATCCGCCTCAAATATACACATTGTATTCACGAAAGAAGTCACGACAGCAACGCATTCTTATCCATACTAGTTGCATACTAGACTAGGGATTGAAACTCAATTTGCTTACCTATAGAGGCGCAGTTGTGTATGTTGACGTTTGAGAAAGATTTAGACTAAAAATATTCCGTATGTGCTAAAAAATAACCGTCTCGTTAACAGGATGCCTCAAATCCAGTTCAACTATGAGAGGTGGGAAACTCTTAAGAATCTGATCCATCCCTTTAAGCTTTTCCGCCTCTTCTTGATCCACAGGATTGGATGCATTCGAGGTAAAACTTTCTCTAGCAAGTTTGGCTGAGCTATCACCGTTTGATGCCCAAGTTCTGTCAGAGGATTCCCTCTTCTCACATATCTGCCGATAGGTTCGCTGCTTGGCTCGCAATTTAGCCAAGTCCACTGGTGTCAAAATACCGTGGGTGAAAAGATGACAGCCACAGACAGCTCTGTTTATGACCAGAGATTGGAAGCTACGTACAGCCTGGGGCTCTTTTGAGTCAGGCGAGTGACTAGCCTCGGTGCTGGCATTCGCCAAATTCCTTGGCGTTGTTGCAATGTTAGATGTGGCACTGGTGATTGTGCTCCACGACGGCATGGTAGCTGCCGCAATAGACAGGCTATTACAGCTAGATGGGCTCTCAAAGGCAAAAGCAGATGCGCGTTCATCTGCTGCTATTTGCTTTCCACAAAAGCGGGCCCCACTGAAGAGAAGCAAAGCTGAAAAGGCCAGTCGAGCAGCTGGATGCAGAACCAGGCTGGCTTGCTTCATCAGAGTGTCGGCAAATGAGCTCTTCAATGGCAGATGGGTAAACGAGTGCATAAAGATGAATCAGCAAGCGAATAAATTCACATGTTATATATTGAACAAATATATGTTTCAATTGCCTCCTTGGGCGTGCCAACAACGTTTGTGATAAATGGAACCCTTGCTTCCCCTTCCGAGTTTTAATCTGGTTTGGTATTTAAATTATCCACTAAACAAAATAATGCCTAATCAATCCCAAGCACAATCAAGCTTAAGTCATAAGAATTTAGTCACCTTAGGGTAAGTTAGGGACTATGAACTGTGTTCACCATATTTTGTTTAAGGTGATGAAGGACTGGTAGTTGAATTTTCCCTAAAGGATATGAGCAGATATGAAGTTTTATTCGAATTTCGCATAGC